AGTTCTCTTGCAGAAGGCGCCTGATCATCCAGGTTTGAGTGCAGTGTGAGCCTATCGACCACAGGCATCAACAGCCTGGTTGGTCAGATGGTTACCAGAAAAGTCATCGCATGCCGGGATTCAGGGGTAAAAAATCTGAAAACCGGTCACGTTGTTTTTTCCCCACTAATTCTTAATCTTTATTTGTTGCATATTTACCTTTCATCAGTTCAGTAGGGTTCAGAAGGATCAAATTTAATGTGGAGAACCTTACTTTACGTTGGGTACTTTAACTTCCTCGAGGCTTTTGTTAGTTATGGAGCAACAAGGAAAAACTGTACAGGCACTGAGATTCAAGGTAATTCCTGCTAGTCCTCGTGACACTGTCAGTGGACCTTTAATGCGTACAAAAGTATAATCCACACCAGTCGCACATAATGATACGTTAATTTTTGTTCATAACTAAGTTCCTTAAATAAATTCCTCTTATATCCCTGGATTGGATTCCTTGACGAGCTTCGTGTCTGCTAGATGTAAGGACATCAGCCATGCAAGTTTTCTTTATCTTATGCGTAGAAGTATTTCGTATATTTTATAATATGTTTGGTAGTATATTATCTGAAATTAATATCAACAGTTCTAAACATTTTGTAACCAACATTAGTTCACATTTGGTTAAGTAGTGTTAAAATTATGACAGAAAAATTTGCCTAAGCCATCCCGTCTATGGCTGCGGTTTTGGTGACGTCATAAAATACTGTTCATCATATTTCATAAATATCCACCAGGTATTGTTTAATTGTTAGGTGGCTAGTGAAGATACACAAGTAATTTAATCAGTGAAAGCCCAAGGGGCACTTTTTTTTTTAATTATTATATGCTACCGTGTACTTTCTGGCACGAGCTTGTGGTGGTGGTAACAGGTTTGTAACCTGAGGAAATGTACAGTGAATTAATGATTGAAGTAACGTGCAGAAAATCGATGGGAATCCTTTTGAGGAGGGAGCATGATTATTGTACATGTAACACAGAAATAAGGTATATTTTGTGTTTGAGTGAGGAACATGGTTGTATTTAGTACATTCAAGAGATTTATGAGTGAAGTTTTTGACTATAGAGATGTTGAATGTTTGTGGTTGACTTAACCCGTGAACGTCTTTGTAGAGATGAAGTGAAGTGCTTCCCTCCTTGGTGACTTTACTGGAGATAGATGCAGGGTCCTCTCAGGTGTGTGTGTGTGTGTGTGTGTGTTAGTTACCATTTGGTCCTAGGCACATGTCGATTAGACACTAGGCCTGTTGTATGTGCATGCATGTGTATGTATGTTAGTTACCATTTGGTCCTAGGCTGTGTGTGTGTGTGTGTGTGTGTGTGTGTGTTAGAGTTCTTGTTCCAGGGCGGTATGTCCTGCCACCTCCATCTTCTCTCCTGTGTGAAGGTCTCTTCTTTAATGCGGATTCTCTCGTGTAATTTCTAGACTGATACTTATTTGTTTCACCAGCTGTGAGTCTCTCCCTCCGTTATTCATTGTCCTCTGCAACACCAACCACATTCCCCTACCCCTCTCTCGCCCTCTCCCTCCATCTCTCCTTTCTCGCCCTCTCTCCTCTCTCGCCCTCTCTCCTTTCTCGCCCTCTCTCCTTTCTCGCCCTCTCCCCTCTCTTGTCCTCTCTCTCTCTCCTCTTGTCTTCTCTCTCTCTTGTCCTCTCTCTCCTCTTGTCCTCTCTCTCCTCTTGTCCTCTCTCCTCTTGTCCTCTTCCCTCTTGTCCTCTCTCTCTCTCCTCTTGTCCTCTCTCCCCCTCCTCTCTCTCCCCTCCCTCTCTCTCCCCCTCCTCTCCCCCTCCTCTCTCTCCCCCTCCTCTCTCTCCCCTCCTTTCTCCTCTCTCCCCCTCCTTTCTCCTCTCTCCCCTCCTCTCTCCCCCTCCTCTCTCCTCTCTCCCCTCCTCTCTCTCTCCCTCCTCTCTTCTCCCCCTCCTCTCTCTCCCTCCTCTCTCTCCCTCCTCTCTCTCTCTCTCTCCCTCCTCTCCCCTCGCCTCTCTTTTACCCATCTCTTTCTCTCCCTCCCTCCCTCCTTCCTCCCTTTCTCTTTTTCTTTGTTTTAGCACTGTAGTATAATTGAACCACATGACTCTTGCGTTTCCAATAATAATAATAATAATATAGTCACCACCAGCACCATCATCATCAAAGAGTTTTATATACAAGTTGCAGCTAGGCATACTGTATTGGTACATGGTTCCTGGTTTCACCAGTGTAACACAGTCACACTGGTGCTCAGGCAGCCCAGCTCAGGACAGTTTATGGTTGGAGTGTGGGGGCAGACGTGGGGGAATTCGATGCACTGCCTTGGTATACGAAGGCATCATTCACCTTCATAGGTTTGTACCTTAACGATAGCGAAGTAAATAATTGGACACTTTTATGTGTATTAAAATTTGATCCGCGTGTCAGTTTAGTGTTATGGGCGAGTGAGGTAAAGTTCATGTGTTTAGCCGTGGAACATTGCGCCTCTGTCGCTGTAGGCAAAATATTGGTATTCCTGAGAGTGGGAGTCATGCCCAGGGAGAAACGGTGATGGTAGACAATTGGTGCAAATCAAACTAATAAACAGAAAAATGGACGAGGACGCGAACCGTGGTACTTGTATGTAGCACGCCCGAATCAGTATCACTGAGTCCGAAGCTCATAATGGTTGATTTTTACCGACAGCACTTCTGTGACATGTTTGTATCAGCGGCACTAACTGTGATCCTACTGTCTAATCTCAGCCCCAGAAGCTTTCATGATGCATCCATTCTAATCACAACACGAATTAAGTAACTGACTTAAAGTAATATGGCCGCTTTGTGTGGGATTTTGGGTAAGATGAGTAATAGAAATGATTATAACAAATGAACCATTAAATGGATTAATGCTCATCTTCTTGATGACAACTCGAAACTACTTGCAGGCTTCCCCAAGTTTTTCGCCTCCGTAATTCGCCGTCTACAGACTCACCAGGGCTGTGTGAATTGTAATTATACATAGGGTTAATACATGCTCTGTTGACATATAACTCCAGTATGTCAGGTATATAACCTGTAAGTCATGGGCTGCCCTTAGTCCTAATCACCCAGCATCGACTCTAGGTACTGCAGTACTAAATAGTAAGACAGAACTTACCTGACTCATTGTAATGGGAGCCTCTGACGTCTTGACGTCAATGAGACCGAAATAGTTGGTTTGATTGAAGAAATGATGCTGGACGCCTCCACTTCGCCGTTTGCTTGGCACACGTCGCCTGACAGCTAACACGACTGAGCTTCACGGGAGTAGTACTCCAGTGATAGATCGTTGACATATCCGTATCTATTCATGGCAGGAAGAATGTCAAATTTTCCTGGAGATCGTCGAGGCACGGCACGAGAAATATGCACACGAATGTTTCTACGTCAGGTGGCAGGGTAGAGCAGTACCCTGCCACCACGTCACCCGGCCTTCTCATCACACGTTCACTCATCGAATTGCAATCTCGAATCACGAATCAACTGTTGCTACCTCCCTCCCTCTTTTATGGACGGATATCTGCTGACTTAGGGTCTTCAGACGTTAGTGCCAGCTCTCTCAACTCAGTTGAATCAGAGGGAGAGGACTCCTTGAATCTAAGATGCCGGCTGTAGGTTATTAAGACCCTGGGTATTTCTAGAGTACCCAGGCATATATTTTTGGATTTTTCCCGGTCTCGGGAAAAATCCAAAAATATGCCTATTCATTTACACTCCCGTAGAGTGCAACTGCCGTGCACATGGGTGTCTCTTGTGTCGCTTTTTATCAGCTGTGAATTTGTATTCCCATTTGAGGGTATCTGCTTTTGCTGGATCAGACACACGTGTTAAGATGAATGTGCATTCTGGAATGCGCTAAATGATCTCTGCTAGTTCAAAGTATACAAGTTATGACCCCTTTTATCCTCATAGTGTGGGAGTAGCGAGAGAGTGTCTTATCTCCCCCGAGGGGCGTCCATTCCCCTGGGGGTTGGAGAAAAATTTTCTCCATACGCTAAATATTGATTTACAGCGCAGTAAACTTATATACCTTTATATGGAACTTACATATTTCTAAGAGGATTAAGTGAAGCTAAAAATTTCACAACCAAATTAAAACAGTTGAAAAATACAATACTAATACTACGTATATTGATGAATAATACAATAATACTCATTAAAATTATAGTGAGATAAGTAACTGACATAAAATAATGCAGTATATACACTATAGATAAACTATAGACTTTGTTGAGAACTAACAAATTTCAAAGAAAAATTACCCACACTTTAATGTTATGTAAATTGTTCAGTAATACATGTCAAACAAACTTTTATTAATAAAACGCAAAACAAATAATTTATGTAAATATTTTTAAAGAGTATAATAGTGTTACACTAAAACTATTGCACAAACAAGTGAATCCTGTACTTTATCCCAAATTATTATAATCAAGGGGGAAGCGCTAAACCCAGAGGATTATAAAGCGCATGTGTGTGTGGGGGGGGGTAGGTATTCAGGCTTAATCCAGGGAACCGGAGCACAGATCCAATTCCCTGGATCAAGAGCCCCTTACCAGTGTCAAGGAACCTTCCTTGAGGGACTTTTATCCCCCTCTAAAAAAAAAAAAAGGTAAGCTACAGAGAAATATTTAACAGTAAAAGGTTGAATTTCATGTGTGAAGGAGTGCAGTTGTTTAACTTATTGTGAATATTATTATTTATTGTTTTATTGTATAGGAAACTATTTGTGTGTGTGGGGGAGTCATCGATGTAGTCTTAATTTATGGGAATGCATTTAGGTGTGATGATTTTTTTTTATTACACAAGGCTCTGAATGCCGTTTAAGGCCCCGTGTTCTTAAAAGTCTGTAATTCCTTCCTATTTCGTATTTTGGATTGCATACTGTGCTTTATAATACAGTACTAATATTGGTAGTATTTTTGTTTGTCTTTCTTATTGCTTTATGTTACATATCTAATTTGTATTTACCAACAGGAGGGCGTCGTAGCTTGTCTGTGCAGCTTCCACCCTTGCAGCACCAGGTGCCTCCAGTGCAGCAGCAGCCGCCGTCGGTACAGCACCAGCCGCCGTCTGTGCAGCACCAGTTGGGCATCACCTACTTCATCACGCCCGTCCTCTGCTCTCACTGTGAGTAACACCACTACCGCGTTTAGCATCGTCACTCCCTTTCTTGTTATTATCGCCACTATCCTACTCTCTTTGCCGTTACCATCTCTCATGTTACCATCAGCTAGCTCACCACAAGCTCCAACCAAACACTGCATCACAAATCCTCGTGAGGTTGCTTTCAGCATATTATCTTTCAGTAACATACTTATTAACTAATAACAAATAACGGTGGTGCTAAAATATGCTGGGAAGCTAGGATGAGTACCAAAAATATAAATCAGTACCTGGAGAAGACGAGCGCAGTCACTAGGTTGGAGTGGAGGAATTATGGGACTCACTCACAATTTCAATTACTCTTTCATATTTTCGATTACAGTTACTTCATCAGAAAAAAATACAGTTAATCAGAAAAAAATAATTGATCAGAAAAACAACAAATTTTAATTATTGATCAGAAAAAACAATAACAAATTACAGTTGTTTGATCGGAAAAAATAAATCATAATTACTTGATCAGAAAAAAATAAATCACAGTTACTTGATCAGAAAAAAATCATAATTACTTGATCAGAAAAAAAATTACAATTACTTGACCAGAAAACAACCAAATTACAATTACTTGATATTTTTTATTAAATTGTTTTCTTCTGTTATTTCATATTTTACTAATGTTAAAAATCGTTATTGAATGTTTGAAATAATAAGCAAACATTTGACTTCATACTTTGTATATAAATGTAACTACTACAACAATATACAAGAACGCTGTTGGTTACATTTTCAAAGGTAAACATGTGGAGAACATGGGCATCTTTGGAGGAGGATCCCTCCCATGATGCCTAGTCCTCTTGTATGTAGTTTTTCAAAACTTGTTCTAGTTCATTAGTGGGTGATTTCTGTTTACCTCCATTTATGACGGGCATAAACGAAAAAAAAAAGATGGGGCCACTTAGGTAGATTGGGCTTGCACTTAGATAATTATAATTCATCCTTTTGCGCATTTCACGCACTTTCCTCATTTTTAGATTCGCTTTTAACAAGAATCCTGATCTCTTGAAGCACCTGCTCTTTTTTTCTGATGGAAACCAAACGAACTTGATGCGAGGAGGAAAAAAAAAACAGCTGCTGCTGTCATGTTAGTTATCTTCAAAAATTGATTAAGTCTTCATTTCACAGCTTCACGCAAGACTTGGGTCAAAGTTTCACAGTAGAGAGGTCAGAATTAGAAACTGCCGCTTGGATTGCTGTAGGCCAGTAATTACTGGTCCGGTTGTTGAGGTGATGACCATTTTTCTCTCTACCATTCGTTAGTGTCTCTTCCATTGTATTAAGTACTGCCACAAATTCTTTAAGTGTGTGTTCTCCATTAAAGATATTTTATTGTTTTTGTTTTCCCTACCAGTCAGCAATTCCGCAGTCTTGTTCTTATGTTCAGATACTTTAAGACCAGACTTGATCATCTTTAATTGTGAATTCTATCTTGTTCCATTTGAGATTGCAGATAATTACCTTTCTCTTGGAGGAATGGTGCACCAAAGGTTGATTTTTCAGATTGAATTCATGAGCTGATTTTTGAATTGCTATAGATAGAAAAGAATTATTGACCTCTGGATTATTCAAATCATCATTTATACAAAGTTGCTGAGTGTGAGCAAAGCAGCTCATATGTTCTGACAAAAAATTGAGAACATTTTTCACATCCATTTTCTCTTCAGTGATATCTGACTGTTACTGAGCCTGATGAGTTACATCTTCAGGCTCAGCAACGTAAAAACCAGGGAGACACAACAGAAGCCTTAATTATTGACGAAGCATTGTCTGCTACAACTTTCTTTACCTCTGGTAGCATAACTCCTTATAAGCTGTTGCTTTTTTGAAGACTGTGTGTCTTTCTCGAAATATATGACAAGAAAGAACTCTTGACTTGTTCTAAATTCTGGTTTGTAAGTGAATTATTTCCCAAAGGAATGACATCCTGCGATTGGTCTAAAGACCTAATGTGTCATAAACTCGGCTAAGACTTTGGAAATCTTGCATTGGAGCCTCCATCTTTTTGCATATGCTGGAGGAGCTAAGTTTATAATTGTTGATCATGTATGAATCGCAAATTTCGATTTTGCCTCTGAATAGAATGCAGTTTTTTTTTGTTAAGTATCTTTGTCTCAAAATATGACAGCAGTCATCTTCGTTGGCACTTTCATTTGATTTTTCAAGCATTTTTATGTACATCATATTACTTCTTAGCATATTAATGATAAGGTTTGAAGTAGCACTTAGATACGTTTCTCAATACCTGACTCTGACAGACTAGAGTACTTCAAAAGCTGCTTTAATAATGATACTTCCACTGAAGTTTTCATTCTTATTATAATACAATACATTGTTGCTCCAGCCTGCCAATAAACGAAGACACTATGATGTAAAAAGGAGAAACAGAAGTTGGCTGAACTAGCAGTTTACATTGTCAGTATGTGACACTGGCTTTCCTCATTCAGCCTTACATAATAAATATTCAGAAATCGGGCTATATTGTTAAGCAGTCTCGCTCATTTAACAATGGTGAAAAATATTATTTAAAAACAGGTGGAGAAAATGATAAGTATTGGCGATGTGTTAACTCCATTTTCGTTACCCTCTTTTTGTCTTTCGCTGTTCTTCCTAGACCTCTGCTCTCATGAAACTGCATAAAATATTTCAAAAATAACTAAATTATAAAATTCCCCAATAGGATATCTCTGTTACCAAAATTATGAAATATAACAAGAAATGGTTTTTCAATTATTTTATAACTCGTCCAAAGACGTAAAATCATTAATGTTAATGAAACCTATGAACGCTTATTCATTCGAAAATTAATAACCAGTGGCTTCCTGTTTTCAAAAATATACTTTGTACCTTAAGGTCACACCACTTTCAATGTTACTCATTAAAATTATAAAAAAATAGGCTTTTGACACAGTATAAATTAGGCTCTTATTCATAAGTCTGAACTCCAACTGAGGAAGGATCTGGGTCACACAACCCACGTAAGCATGACTCACGGAGGTGCAAATCCTGGACGTGACCCAAACAACGAGAATTACAACAGAATGTGCAGTTATGTACCATTTGACACTTATTTTGTCATTTCGCTCACCATACTGCTCCAGCTTCATGATGTATTTTAAGCAGGTGTAAGCTTGACAACAGTCAATTTACAATTACTTTTAACTTTAATAGTTCAGTTATTTTTAATATTAAAGTTCAATTACAATTACTAAATTTCTTTTGAATACTCACATTCAGCTTCAGTTACAATTACTCCAAGCTTGACAGTGACACCGTTAAGAAAAACAGAAGAGAAGTAAGGATGGACGCTCCCGCTGTAGCAGACAAAGAATTGTCCCTCAAACTTTCCACATTTTCTTAAGAAAATGAATACTGGTTAGAGAAATAGAAAACATCCAGCTAAAATGAAAAAAAAATGTACAGTACCCAGGAGTGACAGCAAAACGACTATCAGCAAATTGAAAGTAATCCATAATACTTTTTATCTTATGCAAAATCTAATGGAAAAATTACCACTTAAGGGAGATTGAAATTTCACTAGTGACAACACAGAAATGAGCACAAGACTGAAGAAGTGTGTTAGTGAGTCTTAAAGAGACTAAAAAGACTAACATCTCAAATGATTATTTCTTGAATGAGACTAAATTCTAAGAGCATTTACAAAATTTCTGACAATTTTAACTTTCACTGAACTTGGAAGAAATCATTAATAACATTGATGAGCATTCTGTCTCAGGTCCAGGCTCGTGCAACTGTTTTCACAGAGGTTGTTTCACAAAATTAAGTAAAAAAAATGGCAGAAAAAATATATAGACAGTTACAGGACAAACGGTTCAACAGTTAAAGTGTCCGTCTTCTTCAGACTTAATGTTCGTTCAGCTCTGCGCCACCTAAATACTACTGTATGTATTTGAAATGTTTGGTTAGGTTAGGTTTAATTTAGTTTGTTTAACGAGTGTTTACCCACATTTGCGTATAGTTTACTAGCAATATAAAAATAAAAAGGATTCCATACCTCCGACAGCCCGGCATAAAACGTACGTTTTATGCCGAACGTACGCCGTTCTTACCTGAGTGAGAAAATTTAGTTTGGTGGTGATAAGTTGCGCTGCTCCACAGTCATCACCCAGACAGCTCTTTACTATTAGTGTCCCCCGTAACCTTCATCACCACCACCATCACCCGTCCAGCAACACAACCACCCACCCATCTATGGGGAAAACCTAGATTTAATAATGTCAGCTGACTTATCATTCAGAAAACACAATAAAGCAAATGCTCTGAAAACCAGGAAGATGGGGTGAATGATGAGAATTTTAGAGAGAAAGGAAATAATGCCAGTGGTGACTGACATTATTCATATCACTAGTGCGCTTTTGGAGTACTGTTCAGTGTTGATGGTTGGAATACATACAGAGATCCTTTACTGCCAGCATAGAACCAATGAAACATTTGAACTACTCTGGAGCAGAGGTGAGAGAGAGAGAAAGACCATGGGGATTATAAATGTAGCTCTAAGCCTTTAGGCGTAAATGTTCTTCAGAAGCTAGCTCAGTCAATTTACTTTGAGTTAGCTTGGTAGTTCAGAGAATTTAGTGAAGCTGGGTGACACATGCTCTTCTGAAGCAAGGCTGCGTCCGTGTAGCGCACCCGCTAGTAGTAGTTGTAGCAGTAGTCTCCTGCTTGTTGTTTCACTAAGGAAGACTGGCGTCAGGTCGGGCTTCTAAAGTAGATATCTTTCCTCAGTAGTAGGGTTAACATAGTCTGCGTATATCGCGGTCCTTTTATTCTGAGTAAACAAGAGATGTCCATTGAAGTTTTGATTCCGCTGGGTAGCTCCCCGCGCCCACACTTGATATTAATGATTCAAGTTTAAATAGGCTACCAACAAGTTGAGTCGTTTACCTGGGCAATGTTTGAGCAGTGTCTGGCTTCCTTGCTCACCTGATGCAGCCCACCACCACTTTATT